CTACTTTAGGGCCTATGGGTACGTTGTATGGACCATCCATGCTTTTGCTGCGAGCGGCAGCTTCGTATCTGCAAACGTTTCTCTCTGAGCCTCGCATGCGACTCTTCTTGACGGGATCTGGATCGTCAGCCCTAAGTTTCTTAAATCCTACCAAGCCTTCCGGGGGTTCAGGGCCATTCTTATTCTTAGAGCCTTGAGGACTTTCAGATTTCGATCGGTTTTGTTTTTTGCTGAGGGGTTTCCTTGCTGCCCTCAAAAGGCTCGAGAAGACGCACAAAGAGGACATCGCCTCCAGAAAGAAGACTTTCAAGCCGTGCCCTCAATTTCAGCTGAAGGCTTGAGAGGTTGAAGTTCTTGGGTTTCACTTTAGGGTTTAGGGGTTAGGGTTTTAGGGTTCAGGGTTTTAGGAACATAGGGTTTAGGGCCTTAGTAGGGTTCTGGGGTTTAGGGTTTAGGTTAGGGGACTTGCAGGCCAAAGGTTCAGCAGAGAAGTTGACGAGGGTTCTTCTTAAGCAGGAAACGAAGGCGTCGCTTTCTCTTCGGCTTACTGATTTAGGTCCGGCTCCAGGAAGATTGGGGTACGTACCTTAACAGCTCACAGCTGCCAGCTTCCTTCCTGACAGCGTTGGGGGTTTAAGGTGTAAGGTCCACCTAAAGTCGAGTTCGGTGTATACGAGGGTCCTGAGTCCTGACCTTTGCCACAAACCAAGACTTAAACTGTCTCGTTTAGAGTTTATAGAGCTAAACACACACACACACACACAGAGTCACCTGAAAACGTCCACAGCCTTTCTTTCATCAACCCACCCTAAACCCTAAACCCCATACCCCTTAATGCCCAAGGACATAAAGCCGAGCTGCTCTGCGCTGCGCAGTTCGTAGCATCCCGCAGCATCAGGCTGTCATAACAGGAACTGCCACGGTATGGACCAGCAGACAGAAAAGAAAAATCTGTGATCTTCGGAACCAAGCCCAAAGGCTCCTGAAGCCCACGGTCAGAACTGAAGGTATATGGGGACACGCCCGCTTTCTGGACACTGAATCGTGACAGAACGTGAAGTCTAAAGCCGATTCCCAGATCTGCTGAGGTTTAGCTGCCTGCGGTGGCATCCTGACAAGAATCCGGACAGCGCCGAAGTGGCCAACGAGGTCGGCGTCTGCTCGCTCTTCAGGGTTTAAACCTCTCAAAGATTAGGGTTTAGGGGTGTAGGCTTTAGGGAGTTCTGCTCACTGCTCAGAGATACTAAGTTGTTCGGGTTAGAAGTTATATATAGGTAGTTGTCAAAATTATGGTCCCTTTTGGGGTACCCTAAATAATAGGTGCCGTATTATAACAAGGACCCAAAAAGGGACCATAATTTTGACAACCACCCATATGAGCCCCACGCACAATGGCCGACGCCATCTCCCCTAAACTCCAGAGAGCTTTGGAGCCAGGGCTCGTGCAACTTTGCGCACACTTATGCTCTGAAGTTTGGGTAATTTCTTGTTGCTTCTACAAGCATCACTGGGCTTTAAGCCTGAGTGAAGCATCGGGCAGTGGCTGCCTGGCACTCATTTTCGAACACACTGCAGGGTTGTATGTTCGAATCCGTATACACGACAGAAACACGCGCCAAAAATGTCCTTCTGACTGAACACACAGTGCCTCCAGGCCTCTTCCCAGTAGCCTTAGTAAGCACATGCTGTCAATTGACTCGTTTCTCAGCTGAACTTGGTTTAGGCTCGGTGCTCGTTCTGTAGGAGAACAGGAACCTTCGTTCGTCTCTGATGGCCTAGGGTTTTTCGTGCCATTGCACAGTCGGTTGAGTTTGCTGGTCTTGTGAATGGGAGGCGAGTTTACGGTAAAGGTGCGACCCTGGATGGTAGGCACGATTCGTGGGGGCGTCGTAGCCTTGGTCATCAGCTGTATGGCGAGGGGTTTAGGGTCTAGGGTTTAAGTTTTGGCCAGGTCTTCCAGTGGCTGCAGTCGCAGAGAGACTGGTACTTGAAAGAGTGATCCGACAGCTTGGGGTCTTCGGAACCTTTGGGGTACCGGGCCCTCAATACCTCGTACATTGGCATCATATTATTTTATTACCCCCCACACCTAGAACAATCCTTCAGGTTTGCTTACTCCAAAAAGGGCACTCTAAGACCCTAGTTCCAATAAGGTTACTGTATTGTTTCGAGCTGTACGCCGAAGCCACACCCCACAGCCTACACATCCGTCTGAAGGACGTAATGTAGCGCAGCCCCCAACCCGGAAGGCTTCAAAACCCTAAGCTCACATACAAAGCCTTGAAGCCCCACACCCAAAAACCCTAAACCCTAAACCCTAAACCCTAAACCCTAAACCCTAAACCCTAAACCCTACCCAAGAACCCCGAACCCATGAACCCCCGGAGCCCTCAAAAGCCGTCTTAAAGAAGGCCCCAGGACCCTGGCAACGTCGTATATAGGGGCTAGAATAACTACCCATACTATTTGCGGTTTAGGGTTTAGGGTTTAGGGTTTAGGGGGTTCCCTTCTGATAATTGACAGTCTTCACAGTCTACCCTTAGGCCCTATAGTAGTTCCCTTTTGGGGTTACCTTATAGGATTCTGTAGATGAGCCCCAAAAAGGAACTACTTCAGGGCCTATGGGTAACATATCCCCAAAAACCATTGTTCGAATGATGAAGGCCCCTATATATTAGCACACAGGAGGAGGGGGAGCCCCCGAGAAATGGAGTCGGAGCGTTCTTGGTGATAATGTAGGGGCCTGGCTGAGTGGAATATAGGGCTTTGGGTGCTTTTCCTTCGCGTCCCTCTGCGAGGGTTTAGGGTCAGAGTTTCAAGGCTCCGGGCGAGCAAGCCGGGCCTTGTTTACAAGGGTTTCAGAAGTGTTTCATAGCTTCATAAGGGTTTTACAAGGGCTTGATAAGGGTTTCTCAGCTCCGTCTCCGTCAACCTCTCATGCAGTTAGCGCACCGCCTGAGCGTCCTCCGAGAGGACACCCTGCGCCCCAGGATCAGGTCAATACAGCGGTCGGAACATCCCATGGTAGTATGCAGATATAGTGCCGTAGTAACTATGTAGAATGTAATACCATATCCGCAACGAAACCACTTTGCCACTTAGACAGTACCTAGGTGCAGTCGGTGCAAGCAGAATTTCGGATGCGCCACATGCATACGCAAATTCGCTGTCAGAAACGTTTTCGTCCTTGGAGATAGTAGCGTGCTCGTCGTGGTGGGGACGCTGGTGATTGTCATAGCTGCCGTTTCTGCCAGTGCTGTTGCGGTGGTCGTCGTCATCGTCGTCGTGGTAGTCGCTGCAGCAGTAAACGTAACCGCAGTCATCGTCGGAGGAGGTGCCGCCGGGTTCAAGTTTCAATTCAACAAGCGATGCCGGCATCAAGATTCGTGCCTTCGAACCACTGCATTAAGTTGCACTAGCAAGTAGTCTGGTGTGAGGGAAAGGAATTACTACGCAGACCGACTGTGGCCTCGGCCATTTTAAAGCGACTTGGTTGTTTTAGCCTGCCTCTTTGCATGAAGGCATTGCGAGTTTCCAGGAAGCCTTGAACCCACCTTGGAACTGTAGGTAGCTTTGGAAGTGCCGAATTCCCAAGCTATGACAGGAACTCCGCATTCCTCCCCTCCCCCCCACCCGAAGTAGTCATGTACCAAGATGACAAGATCTGAAAGTCAGAACGGTAGGCCGAGGTAAGTCTGGGCCGCGCGGCCCTAAACCCTAAACCCTAAAGTAGCTGGTACAAAGCAAGGGCCTGGCAGCATATGTTTTCAGGGAGATCAGGTCTTACAGCACGATAAAAGTTGGTGAGAACACTATACAGCTACAGGGCCCTATACCCTATACACTATATACCCCCAAAGCCTCAAAGACCCTGTATACTCTACCCCTAAATACCCTAAAAAACACCCTAAACTCCAATCCCTTGAACAAACCTAAACCCTTAACCTAAACCCTAAGCCCTAAACCCTACTATAAACTCTGAACCCTTAATTTAAGCTTCCAAGAGCTCGTAGCACGAAGCTCCGAGCAGACCCGGGATCAGCACATGAGCCACAGACCAGTGGCTCATAGCTTCGGCATTCTCAGTCCTTATATATATATATATATACCAGCTTTAGGGTTATAGCGTTTAGGGTATATTTGGTATGTAGGGTTTTTTATAGGGTAAAAAGGGTAGATAGGGTATAGGGTTTAAGGCTTATAGCAGGACCCTCCTCGTATGCTCAGAAAGGGGATGGGTATTAAGGGTCCAACTGCGGTTCTCGGTAGTCATTTCCTAGACTTTCGCGAAGAAGCCTGAACCCTAAGCCCTAAACTTACAAGCTTCATCATCGCCATCTTCTCCTACTGTACTCCTCATCGGACTCGCTTCCCACCTTGCCTAAGGGCTTAGGGTTTAGGGTTTAGGGACCAAGAGCACGCTTCACAGCTCAAGTTCGACGATTCCCGAACCCTCAAAAGACGTGTGATCCTGGGACGAGGAGTTCCACAGCTCTTAATAGGTAGTCCTCTAAATTAGGGTCCCTTATAGGTCCTCAATATACTACGGCACTCTTATAAAAGGGACCCTGAGGAAGGGACCCTAATTTAGAGAACTGCTCTAATGCCTGCTGCCGCCGCCCTCCCAAAGGAAGCAGGCGGCCGGCGTCCTCGAAAAAAAGCTGTCTCGCATCGTTCGGGGTTTGGGTTTAGGGTTTAGGTTTCAGGGTTTCAGGGTTTTAGGGTTTAGGGTTTAAGGGTTTAGGGTTTAGGGTTTTAGGGTTTAGCGTTTGGGGTTTAGGGTATCTAATGTCGGGACCTAAAGCATTGCCATTGTTGTTTCCTTACCGTTCCTTGTTCTATACTATGCTTCGCTATACCTTCACTGATCTCTACTATACTATACCATATCAGAATATACTATACTATACTGTACCATACCATACTACTAGACCATACTATACTATACTGTACCATACGATACTATTTTATACTCTGCTATACTACTTCTCTTACGGTGTACATCCGACATGACTCGCCCAACTCTCAACACGAAGCCCCGAGCATCTCCAGAGCCTAAGCCCTAAACCATGAAAAAACTCCTAAACCCTAAACCCTAAACCCTAAACCCTAAACCCTAACCCTAATGTAGGGGCCTTAGTAATTAGATTCGGGTTTGGGGTATATTATACTATAGATATGATAAGGAACTTCCAAGACCCTATTCTAATTATTAAGGCCCCTGCAGTAAACAACCCTAAGCCTTGAAAAGCACCAAAGCCCTCAACCCTAAACCCTAGAAAACATTGGACAACCCCAACACCCTAAGAACTTTAAGCCCTAAACCCTGGACAAACTCTTGAACTCCAAAGAACCCTAAGTCCATCTTCGGAAAACTATGACCTCCACCGAGCATTTTGCCGAGTTTCAGCCCACCTTCCAGCAGTGCCCCGTTTTGGATCATGGCGGACTCCAAGGCGCGGTTTCTTGAATCGCATGGCACCACGTAGCTTAAGTGGGGTTCGTCCTTTAGAAAGCATAGCACCATTGAGGTTCAAGTTTGGCGGTTTCGGCGTTGTTTTTCGGCATCTAAGGTTTTAGGTTCAAGTTTGGGTTTTGGGCATTTGGGCATCTAAGATTTTTGTGCTCCGTTCTTGAGAATGATTGGTACCAAACTCTCAAGGGAAGCTTGAAGCAGAACGCTTTTCAGGTGAAGGACATGGGCTTGGCCGAGTTCGGCCGCAAGGAGCTCACCTTGGCGGAGCACGAGATGCCTGGCCTGATGGCGGCACGCAAGGAGTTTGGTCCCTCGCAGCCTTTCAAGGGCATGAACATCAACGGCTCCCTGCACATGACCATCCAGACGGGTGTGCTCATCGAGACCTTGGCGGCGCTTGGCGCCAAGGTGCGCTGGTGCTCCTGCAACATCTTCAGCACGCAGGACCATGCCGCTTCGTGAGGGGTGCATTAGGGCGGTAATGACTTAGGA